AGTAAGCAAGCAACTCAAAGAAAGGAAGAAAACAAGAATATCTTAAAGCCTAAACGATCATGAACAAAGCTTGAAGAAAGTGGTAGATAGCTTGGTGAGTGTTTATGGATTCAATGTCAAAGTATTTATGAATCCATTTGGAGCTCATCTCTATATGATCATGCATATCATATCATCATTTATATATTCCTATACCATTAGCAATAGACTACGAACTTTATCATATATATATATATATATATATATATATATATATATATATATTTGAGATATAAAGTCATTGCTAAAGAATGAGTTAGTTTAAGCTTGCATAAGCTTTGAAAGAACTCATCACTTGAGCTAGAAATGCCATTTCATGCACATCAATCACATGATTCATATTAGTCACTATAATATAAAGGTTAAGGCCTATGTAGCCTTTGTTACCATGACTTGGTAACGGACATTAGGACCCTTGAATGCACCTCATGAAAAATTGTGTTTTTGGCTAAGTGTGAAAAATGAATTTTTGTAATAATAATAATTTCAAAATAATTGTACTCGGTAATTACTCCTTATACTTCAATTAGTCAAATATGATTTTTTGAGATTTTTTCATCAATTCTACATTGACCTACATGGACGATCAAGTTTTACCAAAACTATCGGGAATCCCAATTTGCACTAAAACTGAATTTTTACATTTTGATTTAGTTGGATTTTTAATATTCTTGTATTTTTTTTTATTGAATTCAAATATGGGGTACTTCCTTATTTACATTGTAAACTTAAAGTAGTTTTACTTAAATGTTTTCAATGGAAATAAGGTATGCAGAAGTGATTACAGAAGTAACTGACTAAAAGGCACCATACTGTCGATTAGATGACCAAAATAGAGAAAACTCATTTTTTTTTTCATTTACTTATCTAATTTACCGATCAGATCAACCCATGTAACCGATAATATAACAAAACAGTGAACAATCATCTTTTATGCAATTCATCATGTAACCGACCACTTCATTGATCTGACAGATCAGATGTGTCCAACTAACTGATCAGATGATTCATGTATTCGATTAGATGACATTTGGATCTAAAGTAAACGATCAGATCATTCAACTAACCAATTAGATGAGTCCAAGTGAACGCACCGATCAGATGGACTAAAATTTCAGATCTGAGAAAATGAATTCATATCAAACGGCTATATTCTTCAAAGGGGGTATAAATACATAATGTTTGGACATTGTGGGTATGCATTGGAAAGAAATAAAGAATTCTTCTTGAGTATCAAAGAGCTTTTGTTCTTCATCTTCTTCAAAGGGGGTATAAATACATAATGTTTGGACATTGTGGGTATGCATTGGAAAGAAATAAAGAATTCTTCTTGAGTATCAAAGAGCTTTTGTTCTTCATCTTCTTCATCCTCTCATACATATTGTTCATAGAGTATTGAGTTTCATTTGTATTCATTTATACTCTAGTTATGATCTTTGATTTGCATATCAATCTTTAAGAGATATATTCTTATGCAACAAATTTCTATTTACAATCAATTGTAAGGGTTGGTGTGACCCAGTAGAAGTCTAAGAGAAGATTGTTCTCTTAGCAAAGAGAATTAGAAGCGGTACGCTTCTTGTACCTGTTTGCTCTCCACCCGTAAGAAAGTGTCATTGGGATTGGGAAAGTCTTAAGAGGGATATTGAACCAAGGAGTAGGAACTATCGAACCTCGTTAAATCATTGTGTCAAATGTTTGCATTTTTCTTCCCTTATCTCTGTTACAATTGTGCTATTAATTGCTTGAGTTTATATCCTGATTATTGCATAATTGTTATAAGGTGTTTATTAAAATTTGCAAAACAATTAAAATAAAAAATTGACCATTATTTGCTATAGACTCTATTCAACCCTCTTTAGAGTTGATACTTGGCAACAACTTAGATGTTCATTTGGAATTAATTAATCTGCTGCGATGTTCAATTGTAACATCTCCGAAATGCTTATGGAGGAGAGTCCTAAACAATCTCCCCTTCTGACTAGCAGCAGATGAAGGTAGGTTTAGGTAGAGAAAGTAAAATTATAAGCAAGACTATGCTTAAGTAGAGTTTTAAATGATTTCAAGGACCTTATCTGGATTTGAAACTGGCCCACCCCCATACACATACATCAGTTTCAAGATATAGTGAAGGACCAATGCCTTGCTTTATCCTTTATTGGTAGCTAGCAAAGGAATTTTTGCCTATTAAATAACAAAATGTTCATTTCTTTTAATATATAGGCAATTATGTTAAGAAACTGATAAAGGGTATCGGCTAAGATGGCCCTTTTTTATTTGATGTTGAGGCAAAGAATCAAAGGATGGGTCACAGATGTCTTTATTGGTAACTAGCAAAGGAATTTTTGCCTATTAAATAACAAAATGTTCATTTCTTTTAATATATAGGCAATTATGTTAAGAAACTGATGAAGGGAATCGGCTAAGATGGCCCTTTTTTAATTGATGCCGGGGCGAAGAATCGAAGGATGGGTCACAGATGTCATTTAGCGGACTCCATATTACTTGTGTCTTGATCCAGGATAGTGCCCAATGTGTCATTTCATGTCAAAGGTAGACATATACCGCGTAATAAAGACTTTCTACACGCGTGAAGGGTTTAGAGACATTTTGATTTACTATGTCATGCATGAAATTTATTTTAAATTTAATTTAGGCTTTAGAAAATTTGAAAAAGTATTTTGTACATACCTTGTAACTCTAAATAATACTCCATCGCAAAATTCTTGACCTATTTGAGAATTCAACTTTTTATATTAGTGAGGTTTTATTAATTTTTATTATATTGATAAGAGTGAATTTATAAATATATATTTTATTCGTTTCAAAATAAATGTCTACTTTGAAAATTGTGCACATTTATTTTGGAACGGTGATAGTACAAAATAATATTTCGTAATTAGTGCACTTATTTAGTCAAAAGATAGTTTAAAAATGTTATAAAAACAGTACATTTATAGCTGACAATCGATCCTAAGGCTTCTACTTTCTCTCTTTCCTAAATTAAAATTACAAATTAACCCTCACACCACACAAGATTTATTTTTTACAATTTTCAATCTTATAATTGCCCTTTCCATTAGACTCCATTTGGTTAGATGGAAATAGCACGAAATGAAAAATAAAAAGAAAAGAGAAGTGAATGAAAAAAAAAAAAAGTGATTTTCTAAGTACATATTTGATTAGGATGAAATTTTCTTCAAAAAAATTATAGGAAAATATCATATTAGAGTTTGGATACCTATATTACCTTTATTTTATAAAATAATAAAGAATTGGTAATAAAATATATTAAAAAAATAATAAAATTTTTAATTAATTTAGACCTTTTGAATTACTATTATTCATATATGATGAAAAACAACTAAGAAAGGAAGTCAAGTTAATTAAAAATTTATCAATGATAAAGTTGTTAGTGGACTCTAATTTTTTGAACTTAGTAAAAAATTATTATTGTTTCCAATATAAAATGAAGTTGTTGGGTAAAATAATATTAATGAAGTTGTTGGGTAAAATAGGAATACTAAATAGAAAGGTGGGAAAATAAAATTTACCCGTGTTTTGTGAAGGAAACATTTCGAAAACATTTCGAGAAAAATAAAGAATTACAAGAATCCTAATTTTCTAAAATTTTTCCTTTTCCATCTAACCAAACTATAAAAAAGTTTTAAAATTTTCTAATTCTTTTCTTTTCCTCTTCATTTTATCTAAGTTTGAAGCCTAGTTGGGGGATTTTTGGGCTGAAAGGTAGAATTCTCCTACTTGTAAATTCTTATAACTTTTCTCACGGTTCTCCCATTCTCGCAAAAATAGAAGATAAGTTAGAAGTTACTGAACTTGTAAAGACAAACAATATTGAAGAAATCTCAAAAATCTATGAATTAGTCAACCCTTCTAAATTTTTGCTCTCTTCTTTTGTTAGAATATTTATGTTTTGAATTGATTTTGAAAATATTTTTTCTTCTTAATCAATCAAAATAAATTTTATCCATTGGGATGCCAATAATGGACACAATTGTTTAGAATTTTTATTAGGATAATAAAAGGCATGTGATTAGACTAAACAATATTTAAATTAGAACCAAATTGTATATCAATAAATAAATCTCGTTTGTTTGTTTTGTTTGTTTGAATGTAAAATATGTTTTAGATTTTTTTTTTTGGGTGTTCGGTTGTCATAAAATATTTACCAAATAGGAATGATGTTCTATAGAAAAGCTTATTTGATTTTAGAAGGGAAAGTATAAAAATTAAGGAAAAAAAAAAAAAAAACTAACAATTCCAATACATAGAAGCTTTGTTTGATTTTATGTTCTGTTTTGGAGGATGAAAGAAATTTGGATGGAAGGGACAAGAGAAGAAAAGATAAATAAAACATTCCTAAGGAAGAGGTTGTATCTTTTTTTATTTTATTTTATTTTTATTTGGTTGAATGGAACAAAAAGCAAATAAGACAATACTTATTTTGTTTGTTACTAGAGAAGAAAAGAGAAAGTGCTAATGAAAGTTTCATAATTTAAAAATATTTATAAAAGAAAAGTTTTGTAATTTCAAAACATTTATAATAATCTTGTCTTCCGTCCATATTTAGAAAAATACAAATTTATGAAGGAGGAATGATGACTCTTTCATCTTTTTTTTTTTTTTTGAGAAGAATACAAATTTATGAAGGCGGAATGATGACCGTTTCATATTTTTTCTCTTCTATCCTTATTTACTCTCTACCAAACTCACGGAGAATTTAATTTAGTGATAATTATTCCGTTTATTAATTTAGTGGAAAGGTTGGTGTAATCCCTTTCCTTTATCGTCATTCACCTAGCCTGCTCTCGATGGGCTTGCCGAACCCCAACAATACCTGGGCCGGGCTTGCTTGCCATTAATATTAAACCCAATTTTTAGATAGAAGTATGGGCTTCTTCATGATCCACCTAGGGATCTTTTGAAAGGCAAAAATACCACTCTCTGTCTCTCTAGGATAATAATTACTAAGACGAAGCTCAGGTGAGCCGGAGAGAGAGTACTGAAGGGAAACAACAATGTGTTCTGTATCTTCAGCCGCCGCACGTTTACTGATTCAGTCGCGCACGTTAGCGACATCGAGGTCTTTGTCTCTCGTATCGCCACTGTGTTGGAGTTCACGTTACTCCTCAAAATTGGGGTTCTTTTCTTTTCAACTCCGGAAATCTGTATCCGCAAGAAAGCTCGTGGTTCGGGCCGCAAGAACCGAGTCCAAAGGGGCCTCTCTTGGCTTCAGACCTCCTCAATTTCAGGTTCTTTCTTCTACTTTCTAAACTTACTTGTGTGTGTTTGTGTGTGTGTCATTTGAACATAATCCTTTTACAGTTGAAATTCTCTCTCTCTTGATTTAGCTTCCAGAACCACTCACTGGGAAAATGTGGAAATTGGAAGACTTTGAATCATATCCTGCTTTACTGGTAAATTCTCATTACATCTGCAAAGATTTTATTGTTCTTATATTTGGTTTCTTAATCTTATCATGTTTTGCAATAGGATATGTGAATTTGCCTTTTGTTTTTCCTTCTCTATTACGAGAATGTTCTTTTTTGTCCTATTATGGAAATTCATCGGTTTTATTGCATTTCTCATAGTATCTGTGGTGTCATTATAGTGATTATACAGAATTTGATTCATAAGCGCTAATGATGGGATGTGAATATGCGATCCCCTTTACTATCATACAAATGCTATGGTTTTTTAACTTTCTGCTATCAATTGCGTTGTGAGGTTCTATATTCAGCAGTGACTACATTTTTGTTGATTTTTTCATCTGAAACTGCATTAAAACATAATGTTGCAATTCAATTTCCATTAGACACTCAAATGTGGACTTGAGGGGTGTCTTTCTGAATTTATTGTTGGAATATTGTCAAGGATGCGGCCTGAATAATACAACCCTAAAATTATGCAGAGGATTATATTATGGCCTACTTCTCTCATATGAGATTTTGAAAACTAGAATGTTCCAGATGATTGCGGAAGAAATCTATGGTACACACACTAAACTAAATGTATTACTGTAACCATACTAATTGATTTTGAAGAAGGTGTAGGGTGATGCTGAAGTAGGTGTGGGTGTTGAATCAGTTGGTGTTCTGAAAATCTACTTTGATTATCCATGTTAGACATTTAGACAATTCTCCAACAACAAAGAAAAAAAACCGAAAATATAAAAGCTTAATTGAAGATCAGAGAAACCCAAACAAAATGGTTCACTCAACAGCAACCCACAGTGAAGGGACTCAGCAACTATACATTAATTGAAATTCTTTTTGTTATATGTATTACTCCATAATAAGTAACATGTAACATGTAGATGATCTTACCCTAGAAGAGAGAGAACAAAAATCTCCATAAAATGAGGTAGGATATTAGAATATCAATTTGGATACGACGGGGATTCTTAATTCATTGATTAGTTGATCAATTTGCTAAGGTTAGAGCAAAGGAAATATACTTGCATGTGGCTTGCACTTTCTAGATAACGCAAATGAGATTTTTCATGTTGGCATTGAGGGGTTTCCTGTGGTTTATATAAGAAAGCAGACACTTGAAAGATGTGTTGATATCATCATAGTTACTCGTAAAAATTGGTACCGATTTGTAGTACAATGAAAGAATGCTTGGGCTTATCGTATGCGTTGATTATGGAGTACATGTATGTTGTGAGTAGATTATACTAAAATAGAGTTAATGAAAAAGTTAGAGTTTTGCAGAGATTCTTTAAATTCGCAATTATGGGATTGGAATGAAATAAAAATAAAACAAGGATACAGATTAAGATAGAACCATTTTTGGTACCTCAACTACAATTTTTCTCTTCCCCTCTCTCTCTTTAATTTTTTTTTTTTTTTTTTTGGTAAGTAAGAATGTTAGAGGGTGCAAATCAAACATATTTGTAGACAGAAAATAACCATCTGAGGAGTTTTATTACCTAGAGTTCATTTTTCCTTAGTTTGCAAGCGTCACGACGCTTCCTCTCTTGCTTGAATAACTTCCCTGTTATTCAAAAAGAGTGATTCTGGAACTTCTAGTTCCAATCGGAGCCTATTCATGTGATTCACAGCATCCACAATCTTCTTAGGATGGAGCGCGTTCAGCTACTGGAGGACGGCCTCTTTTCTCTTCTGGATACAGTAAATCATTTTAAAATCTCTCGCCACTCCACTACTCTTGGGGGTATGCCTCCAAGACATTATTTGACAGGTGCCTTTAGTTAATAGCTTATCTTTAACAAAACCCTTGCTGTGTTAGGGCTCTTGTGTGTGTTGTGAGGGTATGCCCTCACTTTTATCCTTGTACTGTGTTGTTATATTAACAAAATAAAAAATAAAAAATCTTCATTTAGGATTGAAAAAAAAAGGAAGAATGAAAAGGATAGATTATAGCACAATCATGAATATAGACTACAAAGCAGAACAAAAACCTTGTCAGTCTGGAATATGTCCCCTCCTTTATATATATATATATATATATATATTTTGGTTAGGTAAATAACTCACACGTCCGCACAATTTTGGTCCACTTGAACTCCTCTCTTCCCCTTTGGGAAGGAGAGGTTATACCATCTAGGCCAATGAGCCGTTGGTAGTTCTTCTCCTTTCAGATGTAGCACAACAGTTAACGGGATGTTTCGAACCCCTTTCGTGGATTCCATTGTGCAAAATTATTAGATTTTGTAGAATAGGATTGGAAGGTGTATAAGAAGGGTTATATTTATTAAACGCATGCAGATATAGCTTCAATATATCTACCCTTCCAAATTGGCCTTCTTTTTTCATGAATTTCATGGCATCTGAGTTCCCAACACCTTGCTCACCTCAACTCAAATTTTAATTTGAGGCAGATACAAATACTAGGGAAGATTTTAGTTGCGTTCTATGATTTCCTTATGTTAAACAAACTTGAAGAACTTCCTTAGAATAACAGTAGCATTAGGAGATGTTTTGCGCTAATAAAGTGTGAGAGCACTTGACTGGAGTTTTGAGGGTAAAAACACTGTGGAAGTAAATCCTTACCCGACTTATGACTTCATACATCATACTTTGATGGGGCCAACACTAGGTAAATATTTTATTTTTGTTTTTTCAGAAAATACTTTAGGAAGCATATCCACAAATGGCCAACCAAGACTGCAACGTATGGGCATTGAGTGAAGTGGGATTGATGAGTGGGAAAGGTTAGGTGGGAAAAAAAAAAAAAAAATTTATCGTCACTTGCAATGATGATACACAGTGCATGAGAAGAATAGGGATAATACACATGTGAAGATGAAGGTTCATGCTAGCAAAAGCTAACAAAAAATTGTGGATGAACGCAGATAAATGTACTTAAGAAGATATACCTCTCATGTTTTGATTGAAAACATGGTTTTCCAGGTTGGAATGGTGGAGATATCACATAATTGAGAGGAAGTTTTTATTGGCTTGTATATGGCATTTCTATTAAATTTCTGGAATACCAGTTGCCAATTTGTCATATTAAAAGTGCATTTCCTGGTGTCTGTATCCCGCATTAGTGGGGAAGACTAGAAACAAAATTAGCTTTTGATATTATTCTGCACAAAGTGGATTCCTGTGGCCGATCCCATAGATATGGGAACACAAGGATGATGATTATTATTTTGCATAAAGTGGTTGTTTTCTAATTTGAACCCTCAACCTTTCACTTGTCAATCCGAGCTTTTATGTTGCACCATGCAATAACCCTTGCCTATTTGCAATATTATTTTACAAAAAATTTAAAAAGAAAAAAAGTTGTGCTATTGTGCAGTTTAGTTATTAAAAAAAAAAAAAAAAAAAAAAAGAAAACCAATAAAGGAAATACTTAAAACAAGATGCTAGCTCACCTTTTTCATTTTTTGGTGGTTGTAATTTAGTGATTTTATATATATATAGAGCTATACTTGAAGTACTATTGTTTCAATATTCGATATGTGTAAGAGCTGTACTTGAAATACTATTGTTTTAGTATTCAGTATGTGTAACAGGAACATAAATGTTACGCTTTATTTTAAAAAATGTCATAAAGTTGGGGTAAGATTAATCTCATAATTGGAAAATATTGAGGTATTGTTAGAATTGAGACTGATTTGTTTAACAATCAATAAGTACTGATCTATTGTATTATTAAAATGCATAAGTTTTTTTTAGAGTTATTATATTTTAGAGTTGGTTGTTATTTTATTTGGTTATTTTACCCTAAGGGTATTATTGTATTTGTCTCTATTCTAATATAATATATGGCAATGTGAACGGTCAGGGTAATATCAGCCGTCTGCCCTAAACCTTTTTTCCAATCACTTGCTCTTCATCTCTCCTCTTACTTCTCAACCTAAATCTTCTTGCTTTTGTTGGGTTTGTTTCTTTCCCCAATTTCATCTTACTCTGTTTCATGGTGTTGGTTCCGGTGGCGTATCTGGCGCATTTGTTTGTCTAGAATTTCTACTTCTGGTTGAATTGGGGAGTCACGGAGAAAAGGTTCATTTCTTTCTATTGTGTGGGTGGCTTTGATTACTTGTTTACGCAGTGGTTGGTCTCTTGGTATCTTCTTAACTTGCTGGTATTGCTTTTTGGAGATTTCTTGAAGTTATTGCCCGATTGGGTGATGGTTTGCCCGGCGGCGGAGTCCATTGATGATGTGCACGCATCCCAAGCAGGTTCTCAAGCGTATGGTGTACGCGAGGTTGCTGAGCCATACTTTGTAGACCGGGATTCTACATCCTGTTGGGCCTTTGCTTTAAATCTGGTGTTGGATTCTGGGCCGAGCCCAAGTAGGGATTTTAGTTTGGGCTGCCATTCTGACTTGGTTTCTAATGATTTGGGCTGACCATTTCCTTATTTACCGAGAAATCAACCTTTGTGTCGTCCCTGTCCTGTCTCTAGCGGTATTGCGTCTTCCTCAGGTACCTTTGATGTTCCATATATTAATAATATTCCAACTGTATCTCAATGTGTATTTCATCAAAATTCTCTACGAGTGTTGGTTTGGAATTGTCAAGGTATTGGTAATCCTATTACTGTTCGACAATTAATGCGACTTCAAAGGGCTCACAATCTGGATATTATAGCTCTTCTTGAAACTAAAACTGGTCTGCGAAACCTTCAACGGTTGAAAAGACGACTAAAGATGCATTCTGTTTGGTGTGGGATTCAGTGGGAACGGCGGGGGGTATCGCTTTGCTTTGGCGGGTCAACCATTTATTTAAAATAGTGGATTTTTGTGACTATCAAATTACAGTGGAGTTATGTTCAGTTCGAAAAGGCTCTTGGGTTATTACTTTCATTTATGCTAGCACTGATGATGGTATTCGTGCGGTCCAATGGGAATACCTTAAACGATAGTAACGTTTGTGGTGGAATAGGTGGCTTATTATTGGTGATTTTAATGATTTGTTATCTCCGTTGGAAAAACGAGG